AGTTTACAAAACACCGACAAGTATGAATATTATGCCTAGCTAAATGACCTAGCTCGTGAGCCATCTTGTTGCACTCTCTCTTTACCTTTTGGAATTTCCATTACACCAGCGTCTGTAGATATTCTTTGCCCTCTAGGATGATATATCAGAGCTCTGATCGGTCCATGCGGATGGATTCCAGTGCAGTCATTACTCTAGAGGGTCCGACTCCACCATAATTGGGCCCGGGCACCACTGGGAAGCCAACCTAAGCCCTTCAACGCAAGCCTGAGGTTCTGCTTCATTCCCTGATGCACACCGAAACAAGGATCGCCAAGCCATCAACACGACCTCCCCTGCGATGTTCCTAATCACCACTCCGCCACCGTGCCTCCGCAATCTGCGCGACAAATGATCCATCCACATTCAACTTCATGTAGCCCTCTGGCGGGGGCTCCCATTTCTCCCTACTCGTAGGAGCTGACACAGGAGCACGGGTCGGGGTCCAGCATGGAGCTTTTCCTTTCGCATCCACTAGTGAGTCGTGTTGTGGAGGGTGCATGCTTTAATTTTGTTGATGTGGCACATTATATAGATGGCCATGAAGTGTCAATAACTAAAATAAATGAATCAAATATGGGCCATGCATCCCTGTATGACTACATCTACTTCGTTGCGATGATTATGGGGGTGATGGAGAGAGATAGTGATGGGCACTCAGGGGAGTAGAGAGATAGGTAGAAATACATTGATATGCATGTGCAAGTATACAGTGACGACATGGCAATGCCACATGGGTAATTTTGGCACACATTAGCAAAACCACGCCTAGGGACGAGTTATTTAGACAACTTGGGATAGTTCATCATGGTGCTCAATACCGGGTTTTAATATTGCGGGTTAAGAAGGCGAACCTCAATACTTGAGGGATTACGTAGACTTATTCTTACACTAGTAATGTTGACAATAAAAGTTAGCGTTACATGCGTGTCTGCATTTTTTTTGAAAATCTTGCACTAACAGAATCTGGAATTACCTTGAGGGCCATGGACTATCTTGAGCGTGCTAAAATGAAACCGCCAAGGAAAGTGTAGGGCCATGGATATTCTTACATTGGTAACTGATTAACAGTCGGTGGTCAAGGATTCCTTGGCGGTAGTGATGGTTATTACAAACTTAAGGGCTTATTTTCAAATTTGATGAATGACGGAGCTCCTGAATGTGAGCAAATAAAAATAAAAATATATGAAGACATGGTAAAGGGTCCAGTTTTCACTTGATGTATTCTTATTCGAATGCATAACCAATATGAGCCCGTTCGCTGGTCTGAAGAGTTCAGACCAGCCGGCTGGTTTCCCACTCAGGCCACTGTTTATCAAACCAGCCAAACAGTGTTTTTCTCTCACAAAACCAGCCAGTTTCAGCCAAGATTCTGCCAGCCGAACGGGGCCATACAATGGGTGCATATGAAACATGCGACTGAAAATTCAGGAACTGTAGAAATTGCTAATCTTATTCCAACAAATATGTAATACCGTACCCATGCCATTTTACATCCTCATTTGGTCCAAAGTTGTGTGGCTGCAAAGGGTACTCTAATGCCAGTGGACTATGCCTAGTCCTAATCCTTGGTTGCTTGGTCAACAGAGGAACCAACAGCTTGAGAGCCAAAAGAGGTGTATGCGTTGCTCGGTGGAGGCTTAGGTGTCCTAGGTGGACGAGCATATCCCGGAGGAACGGGATTTTCCCAACCTCCACGCTTTGGATGTGCCACCGCTGCTGCTTGTAGCGGGAGTGACGACCCTGTAAGCAATAAGGTAAGGAGAAATGACATGAAAGCCAAAGAAGTAATGCTCTTTTGCCTAGTAGCCATTGTTGCTGGTCTTAGTAGCTTTTTTCCTTTAATCCTTGTGCTTCTATGTAGTGCGCCTACAACTTTATATATAGACGAATTTTCCAGGAGGTTGGTGGGGGTTTGTAGACTAATTTTGGTAGAGATGTCGCACATGATTTCATTTGATACATCATAATGAGTCTGTGCGCTGGCCAAGTTATTAGCAAAGGATCCGCATTGGCCACAGAGAGCGATTTGTTTTGGGATTGCTAAATATAACCTTGATTCACATACATGTCAAAGGGAAGGGATTACGTTGACAATAAAAGTTAGCACTACACGCATGCATGTCTGAATTCTTTGAAATTTCTTGATCACGTATGTTACCTATGTTTGCCTCGGTTACCAGGGGCGGAGCCGATCATGCGTGAGAAGATACATACACGACCAAAATATATATAGTAGTGGAGCTAGAAATTTTTACATGCCTAGACGAATCTTATTATGTAGAAATATTTGTCTAATTTTTTTTAGTGTTTCTCTTTTATACAAATTAAAAAAAACTTTGCACTTCACTAATGAGCCCGACGCCTACTCGGGGTCGCTAAGCGGTGGTTTAGCCAGTACTGAGTATACATGACAACCAAATAAATGGTTGTGTTACGGTAACAAAAGTAATCTAAAAATGAAAACGAACACTAAATATTTCAGAGAAAAAATGAATAAAATAAATTAGCCCTAGGTCTTTAACGTTCACTCGATCAATCTAATTTTTAGACTAGAAAAAAGAATCACAGTAAAACATGAACAAAGAAGATAAGAAAGATAAAAGGAAGACTAATTCTAAATAATATGAAATGCTATTAGAGTTCGATTGGAGAGCAAACAAGAAAGCACTAATTACATTTAACAAACTAATTAGATAGTGCACTGTCAGGATGAACTAGATGTTTGATAGAAAATAATAAATAAAAGGAGCAAAAGAGATGAAAAAATAATAAACAGCCAAATTTTAATTATATAAGATGCTATTGGAGAAGAAATTTTGAATACAAAGAACACCATTAACTAGTTAATTGGAACATTAAGTAGCTAATTAATGGGGTGTTTTATTGGGGGGTGGCGGCTCCGCCACTGTCCGTTACACTGGACGGAAATTACCTTAGGGCGTCCTCAACGAGAATTCCAAATCGCTAGCTGAGGTGGAAGTTAAAAGCAATAAAAAACAGCGAGTGCAGGCAGATTATCAGAGCTGAGAGACAGGGAGCTTTCTTGAGGTCCGTGCGAGACTAGCTAGATGCGTAGCGCTAGCGCGCTGCTCTGGCTCCTCTGTAGCCAATGAAATTACAGCTATGCTGTCGATTTAGTACCCGTTGGGGACGCCCTTAGCACTCACTTCTTAACGAGTGGAACTTCAGCAATTTGTTTCTTAGTTTTTTGTTCATGCCCTTTTGGTAGTGTCCCTACATAGAAGAGGTAATTGTGGAAATCTTGTTTTTATTATCAACTAAAAGCAGAATACCCTTCACGTCTCTAGATATTTGGAACTTCTTTGTTGCAAAGATGGTATATATATCTCAATTAATTACTTATTCTCAACAATCCAATCTAGTTTGTTGGCTATGCTCCTTCTTGGCAATGGCAATGTAAAGGCGCATTTGGCCGGGCTCCCGCCGGCTCTGGCTCCCACATTGTAGCGCAACTGTAGCGCGTAGGAGCTGGAACCGAAGGAGCAAAAAAAAAACGAGCTTCTCCAGCTCCGGCGCTATCAGTGAGAGAGGAAAGGAGGAGAGAGAAAAACGGCTCCGGTGAACAGTGTCGCTATAGGAGATGAACAGGGAAGGAGTCAGAGGAGCCGGAGCCGCTCGGAACCCGGCCAAACGGGCTCTAAGGCATTTTTTTAGCTTCAACCTGATGATGGACGAGGCTACATCATGCTTCAAATTGGGTGACAGAAAATATTGTCTCGAGGCAGGCTATTTTGTGCCATGGCCCTTCCTTCCACAACTCAATCCCTCCGAGTCAACGAGTATCATGCCTATTTGTATTTGTGGTTGTTAAATACACAAAGATAATTAGGAGAAATTCGAAATCGTAAACGGCATACAAAGTTTTTGAAAACTTTTTTTCTAGAAGTTAGAAGCTGTTACATTATATCAAATGTAAACGGACTACACCTACCATCGTATTGCGTTAAAAATTGTTTTATACATTTCTGATATATATGGTTTAAATATGTATCAACTGAGAAAAGCTATGAAAATAGACATATTACTCGCATTGTCTATGATCAAGAGGCTAGATCCAAGTCTGACACTGACACACCACTTCCACAAGTTGCACTGCAGTTGCCGAAGTAAGCTCTAATCTACGTACTTCCTCTATGTTAAAATAAGTGTCGTTCTGTTTCCATATGAGTCAAACGGTTTAAAGTTTGATTAAATATGTACAAAAAAATATTAATATTTACATTATATATATAATTAGTATCATTAGATAGATCATTAAATTATTTTTTATAATAAATTTATTTTGAGGATATAAATATTATTATTATTTTTTACAAAACCTAGCGACACTTGTTTTGGCACGGAGGGAGCAGTGTAAGCCAGCGTGGGATCGGTCTGTATGGTGTTGGCCAGCGACGGCGACAGGAACCGCCGGCGAGGAGGCGCGGTCGTCGCGCAAAGTGCGCGCTTTTTAGCTCAAGCTCAGCTCCTGCTTCACGCCTTCACGAATCACGAGTGACTCGCTGCCGCGTGCATGCATGCTCGATCGCCCCAGAGGTTGGATTGGAGCCGATGCAGGGCAGGAGCCGTCCGGAGTGGGGTTGCCGCGACATGGTCGACACGTTTCGCTCCCTCTGCCCTCTCACTCTCAAGCCCGTACGTGTTCGGTACCTCGTAGTTCCCGTCCACCGCACCCGGTCTTGCATGCAGCGCAGCCCAGAATTCTTGGAGCAATGATAAAAAAAAAAAGAATTCTTTAGGAGCAGCCCAGGTAGCCTCCCCGACGCCCAGCGTCGTCCAGCCCAGTCAGTGCCCGCAGGCCGCTTCCTGGCGAGCGACTCCCGAACCGGCGGCGCACCCCCAACGCGAAACGCCACCGAACGACCGTCCTCACCGCGATTCCGCCCTCTGCCGCCGCCGCCTCCCCTTGAACTAGAGCGCCGCCGGCGGTTGTCGCCATGTCCGACGAATACGGTGGGCTCCTCATCCAGCCGCATTTCTATGGGCTACTACTCTATTCTCTTGCGCTTGTTTTACTCGGGATGGATTTTGATTGGTTCTCTTCTCCTCCCGCTGTGGTTTTGGCGGGGGATCAGTGGACTTGCCCGTCTCGGACGAGGATGACGAGGAGTTCATGGATGATAGTGAGGAGGAGGGTGGTGGTGGAAGCTTGAAGAAAAAGGCCAAGCAGCACGTGGAGCAGCTCAAGCGGCTGCAGCAAAAAGGTTCGTCCCTGTCGCCTCCGGTTTCTCTTCGCTGTCAATTGAGTGGAATATAAGTGTTGTAATCCGTTGTTATTGAGCGTAAATTGTGCGGTTGCCATTGTGGACAGTAACTAGTTTAATTGATTCAGATTCTGAAATTGGCTGCAATCTTCTGGCAATCTGCTGAGTTAATGTAGTATTTGAAACTGCAGCTAGTAGGTATTTCAGAGTAGGTTATAAAGTGACTGGTTGCAAAAGAGTATTAGTGTAATGATGTTTTTCGCCTACCGTGTTATATAAGTTGAGATAAGTTGAGAGGTGGACAATTGTGTAGAGCAATGATGTTTTTCATGTTTGTTTCATTCCCAATTTAACCATACTGTAATGGTAGTTATGCTGCAAATTTGAGTAAGGAATGCCACATAATAACTGTTTTGACCTATACTGCTGTTGCATTAGATTTAACCTCATGCATCCTCCAATAAGTGATCCCTTGAACTTACACTCTACTTTATGGCTTGAATTTTCGCCTGCACCACTCAAAGATTGTGGAAATGGCATTGTCATAGCATCATAGGCTCATAACATTTGGTTACTCTTATTCCCTGGTACAACTTTCCTTGCTCTTACTTGCTCAATTTACATTCATTGGTTAGAAACATATTCTCTGGTAGATTTTTTTTTTGTCTAGTAATGGTGTTCCGCTTATGATATTTGTTGCTTAAATCCTGAACTATGTGAACTATGGTTGTACAGTTTAGCCTAAGGCCCACAAGGTGCTATACTTTGTTCTTAGAAATAAGTATTCCTCCCCTTTCTAGTTTCTGTCTGTCTGCTCCTGTGCTGCATGCCACCATATCAATGTTGGTTGTTTTTAGGCTTATGTACTTCTTTGATTTGATGTAGGATCCTGAGTTCTATAAATATTTAGAACAGTTTGATAAAGATTTGTTGGGATTTGATGATGATGATGATGATGAAATCGAGGTAAGTTGGTCCCTTTTTGTGAGTTTTCTATACTACAATGATGAGAGTGGAGTCATTGTTCAATATTACATTTAGGATGACCAGGAAACTGGGGTTGATGGCGAGGAGGAATCTGTATCTAAAGAGGAACTGAAGCATGTGAAACCTATTACAATGGAAATGGTTGATTCCTGGTGCGATGGAGTAGAGAATGAGAAGATAGGTTCTATCCGTTCTATTATTCAAGCTTTTCGCAGAGCCTGCCATTATGGTGAAGATCATGGGGACAATTCAACTCCGAAGTTCAGCGTCATGTCTGGTAGCGTACTTGATAAAGTTATGCACTTTGTTTTGAAACACATGGATAGTGTCCTCCGTCAGTTACTTGGTGCCCCAAGCTTTGGAGGGAAGAAAGAGGCAATCAGTGAGCTGATGCTGATGCTGATGCTGAGTAAGCCATGGAAGAGACATGGTAATCTTATGAGGATCTATCTTGCCAATGCGCTTCATATGATAACAGAGATGACCGATGAGCAAATGATAGCATTTACTATACACCGTGTCAGAGCATCAGCTGTTTTTCTGGCAGCTTTCCCATCGCTCCTGAGGAAGTATGTTAAGGTGCGTAGGTTACAATTTCTGCTCCACCTTTGAGTTACTTTCGGCATTGCTCTGCTGTCCATCTACCAAGTTTGTTATTTACTTCTGTTTGCATGATTGCATCCTTCAATTGTAGGCTCTGCTCCATATCTGGGCTAGAGGACGAGGTGCAATGCCTCTTGTTTCTTTTATGTTCCTTCGAGACTTGTGCATTCAAGTAGGTTCAGATTGCCTTATACGTGCCTCAAGGGTATCTATAAGGCTTATTTGGTGAACTGCAAACTGTCCAAATCTATCAGTGGATCAAAACTGCAACACATTCAATTCCTTGGAAATTGTGTCAGAGAATTGTATAGTCTGGATCCACAAAGTGCGTATCAGCATGCTTTTGTTTTCATCCGTCAACTGGGGGTTATCCTAAGAGGAGTTCTTACTGAAAGGGGGCCAAAGGTATCCATTGAACTCATTGCCATGTACTGGAACTTTGTTGTCTACCTATGACCTGACAGTGAGATATTTGCCTCTTGTTTTGTTTTGAAAGTCAGCAAAGGACAAAAGGCAGAAAGAAAGTAGCAAATCGTCGAAAAAACAAGTGGAGGTATTATTCATACTGCCACTCAAATACCTACACTGGTACTGTATAAGCTTTGAAATACATTCAGACATTAAGTAACTCCCTTATTCTTCTCCAATACAGTAAATCCCCTTATTCTTGCACCTCTTTTGTTGAGAAAATCTCACCTTTACAAAATGCTATTTCCCCCCCTCAGTGTTAATAGTATACCTTTTGTTGTCCAACACTTGCAGTTTTCTGTTGCTGGCTGCTAAAGAGTTGGCATTTTTCTTCTGCAGAAATCTTACCAAAAAATTTATGATTGGCAATACATATTCTGCCTTGAGCTTTGGACCAGTGTTGTGTGCGGATGTAGGGCCATGTTTAGTTCAGCGGAATCGGCGCCGCCGAAATCACTGTAGACTACTGTAGCACACTGTATCATTTCGTTTGTATTTGGTAATAATTGTCCAATCGTTGACTAATTAGGCTCAAAACGTTCGTCTCGCAAAGTACAACCAAACTGTGCAATTAGTTTTTGATTTCGTCAACATTTAGTACTCCATGCATATACCGCAAGTTTGATGTGACGGGGAATCTTCTTTTTCATAGTGTCAAAGTTGGGAATTTGGGAGGAACTAAACACACCCTAGTTCTGAGAAAGAATTCCGACCTCTAGCTTATCCAATGGGCCCCGTTCGGCTTACCCCATATTGGGCTTATTCAGCTTGTTTTTTCAGCCGGAACAGTGTTTTTTTCTCACAACAATTCAGTCAGAAACAGTGTTTTTCAGCCAGTTTCAGCCAAGATTCAGCAAGTTCCTGTGGCATGCCTTTACCTAGCGCACGTTACTTCCCTGTGCGCCTTAGGTGTGTCAGAATGCTTAATCGTATTGCTGAAGCCACTGGTACCTTCATTCCTGTGTCCTCCCTGCTGCTTGATATGCTTGAAATGAAAGAACTTAGAGGACGTCCAGACGGAAGTGTAGGCAAAGCCGTGAATTTGTTCAGTGTTACAGGTTTGTTTTCTTCCAATAGATCATTTTGCTATGGAACACGCCTTTTGGAGAAGCTTGTAACAGTTCTCTTTTCTTGGCAGGTGGACAAGAAAACAGTAAAGACACGTGCCTTTCAGGAAGCTTGCATTTATTCTGTGGTCGATGAGCTGGCTAAACATTTGGCCCAATGGAGCTACTCCATTGCCGTCTTTGAGATGTCCTTTATTCCACTTGTTCGGCTCCGAAGCTTTTGCAAAACCATTAAAGCTGACAAATTTAGGAAAGAGATGAAGGATCTTATCAATCAGGTTTGCCAAGCATGTGTAGTTTGAATTACAGTATTTGATCCATTGCACCTATGCTAATGTCTATCATCATGTCTGATTTCAGATAGAGGCCAATGTCGAGTTCATTAAGTCAAAACGCGTGGGGATTGCATTTTCACCCAATGACCCAGCTGTAGAGTCATTTCTGCAGGCATGAGTTCTGACTTTGTGGCTTTGCTTTTTGCACGTTATTTATTTCTTCTTCGTTTTTTTTGGGAACACACATTATTTATTTCTATACTATCATTCCTCTGTCATTTACTCATTTTGTGAACTTCAGCGATCATTCCCGCCTTTTGCACATTATTTATTTCTATACTATCATTCTTGTGTCATTTAATGAACTTTAGCAATCATTCCCCAACAGACCGAAAAGGAAGAACGTTGCAGTCCTCTCTCAAAATATGTTGCTACTCTACACCAGAGAGCGCAGGATAGAATGGATGCTCTGGACGAGACCAGGTTAGTTCCATCTATCAGCTAAGTTCATATCACAAACAAGTATCCTCTGCGATTTAGTTAGGTGCGACTTGTGTTATATTATCTAGCCGCGCGCTATACATTTTTGTAGTCTGTACAAACCACAACAACATATGTATCATGATTATCTTGTAAGGACAGAAGTGCATACTGATTAATGGCATTGGGTTCACTAATTCCTTGTTGCCAACCAGTGTGTGGGGGCTGAGTCCTCAACCTTCTCACGGAGGTTATCAGAAGCGCAGAAGCAACAGGATGAGCAGGACAATGACGAAGGCACTATTGCTTTCAGTAAGAACTGGTTGGCTGAAAATAAGAAACCCAAGTATGTTCTTCCTTCCCTCTTTTTCCCATTTTTACTTGCTGTGGAAAACACATTATCATACCATTGTTCGGTGCGCAGAACCCCAAAGGAGAATAAAAAGCGACCCCGAGAGGATGATGATGTTGCTGCCGAGGAGGATCGGGTTGAGGATTTGGTCTTGAGCTCAGATGAAGAGGATGGCAACAATCAGGAACCAGAGGATGGTTTCGTTCCGGTTGAGTTGGGCGTGTTCGGCTGATGGGTTGCACAGTAGATTTCGGATGATTCAATAGTATTACGTGAGAGAGAATAAGTTGAAACAGGCTGAAAGTAGCACAGCCGAACGGGGAAGCTGCAAAAGATGCTGCTTTTTTTGTGATGTGTGCTTCCGGCCGATAAAAACATTGTCTCGAGTGAAAAAAATGTTATATTTTCAAGAAAACTTTCAAGTCGTCTCTTTTTTTTTACCCCCAACAGGAGAGGGGAGGTATTCAGTTTTCATTTCAGTGACACAAAACGGCCTGTAGTGATTTGAAAGTTTACATGATTCAAAAGTGATGAAGGGTTACATTGCCAAGGAAAAAAATTGTACACCAAACGTCACAAATGTGGGCGTCTTCTTGATAAGAGGTAGCACGTGGCGAATTACTGGGGCTCTCAGTTCTCACACTTGAAAACAACGGTATTCTGTCTTTTCCATAGCTGTAACTGTCAGCAACAGAGCATAACGAAGACACTGAAATGTTTGGACGGGACAAGGGCATAGTTTTAGTTGGCGAATTTTTTTAAATGGTACTGTAGTATTTTTTGTTGTTATTTAACAATTAGTGTCTAATCATAGTCTAATTAGGCTTAAAAGATTCGTCTCGTGAATTTTGTCTAAACTGTGTAATTAGTTTTATTTTTTATTTATATTTAATGCTTCATGCGTGAGTCTAAAAATTTGATGTGACGAAAAATCTTGAAAAATTTTGCAAAATTTTAGAAACTAAACAGGCACGAGGTTTGGTGCCTTGGCCTCTCAAGTTTGTGCAAGTCCTTGCCTCAAATAGTCAAATCCATCCGGTTGCACCTCAGAAGTCGCCACCAGTCAGGAAGCGAAAGACCGAATCTTGATTGACATATCTGTAACCCCCCAGGCCCCGCACGCACACAGCACAGACCCCACTCAACCGAGGGGTGGGTCTCACCTAGGGATGAAAACGGATCGGATACGAACGGATATCACTCATATTATATTTGTTTTCATATTTCTGTTCGGATTCGGATTCGGACACGGATAGCGTTCGGATACATATACGAATACGGATTGACTCGGTTACGGATACGAATAATGAGTATCGAATACGGTATGAATCGGATTCGGAGAAGGTCGGATACAAATATCTATTCGGATATTGAGTAAAAGCAGCATATATATATATATATATATATATATCATACGTGCGTAAACTATTACACCACTCTATGAGTCCATAATCCATCTAGATTAAGCCGAAAGACTAAAGAGTAAAACAACAAATAAGATAAAGATACAGATACATCATACATCAAACATCATATAAGCACCAATCTTCGCGGCATGAGTAGAAATAGCCAAGCACATTGCTTCATGGGTCTCATGGAGTCATGGTCATGGATTCAAGATCTACAATCCTTATATAGGCCATTTTTTTCATTTTGAGAAAGTTTGAACAAAATGTAGTTCAAATTTCACAAGTGTGTGACATAGTTTTAGAAAATGCATATGAGATTTAAGAATTTGTGACTAGTGTTTGATAAAACTTTCTCAAATGGGAAAATGAGCTATGTAACAATTGTATATCTTGCTGAGATGATCAAACTTGGTATTCAGAGTTTTTTCATCTGAGGTCATTTAGTGTCTCATTTGAGCAAGTTTGATCAAGTCAAATTTGGTCAAATAAAAAAACAACACTTTGACTCTAGGATTATGAACTCTAAATGACTTCAAATTGAAAAGTTTTGAATACCAAGTTTGTTCAACTCATCAAGATCTACAATTCTTATTTTGGTCAACTTTCCATTTGAGATAGTTTGGACGGTTCAAATTTATGATTTTTAAATTTCGATGCTTACAAACTAGTTTTCGGAACCCTAGATTGTCTCAAATTGAAAAGTTTTGAATACCAAGTTTGTTCAGCTCATCAAGATCTACAATCCTTATATAGGCTATTTTTTCATTTGAGAAAGTTTGAACAAAATGTAGTTCAAATTTCACAAGTGTTTGACATAGTTTCACAAAGTCTATATGAGATTCAAGAATTTGTGACTAGTGTTTGATAAAACTTTCTCAAATGGGAAAAATGAGCTATGTAACAATTGTATATCTTGCTGAGATGATCAAACTTGGTATTCAGAGTTTTTTCATCTGAGGTCATTTAGTATCTCATTTGAGCAAGTTTGACCAAGTCAAATTTGGTCAAATGAAAAAACAACACTTTGACTCTAGTATTATGAACTCTAAATTACTTCAAATTGAAAAGTTTTGAATACCAAGTTTGTTCAACTCATCAAGATCTATAATTGTTGTTTTGGTCAACTTTCCATTTGAGATAGTTTGGACGGTTCAAATTTGTGATTTTTAAATTTTGAATAAATATCCGGATAATATCCGTTTTTAAATATCCGGATATATCCGATACTTATCCGGATTATCCGATATCCGCCGGATATCGATGATATTACATCCGTATTTGATATCCGCCTAAGATATCCGTTTTAGTATCCGTATCCGAAAAAAAAACGGATATCCGAGTAACTATCCAGATAAGTGTTCATATTTGTTCGGTCGAACGGACGGTCGAATAAATATCCGTACCGTTTTCATCCATAGTCTCACCTATGTAGGAACTCGTTTATGTTTTCGTCCTTATTTCGCGTAAAACGGTTAACCGAAGATTATTACGTGTCCTTGATCCAGCTATTTAAGCTGGTTCGGCGAACTCAGAATTCAAAGAATTCACAACTTTGCTGCTACAGTGTTTTCCACGCTGCAGTACTCGCCACTACAGTATGGATTCGGTCCGGCCGGCCCAATAATGGGCTGGGTCTCACATCCACCCACCCTCGATGGATTCGAGGTACTCGTCGAACTATCGAATTAGCCCACGTCCGTATTCCCAGCTCCCCAGCCCAAGTGCCATGCTCTTGCAGAGCTATGCACAACCTGTCTGAGCTCGCGAGCCATACATTCGTAAAACCGCGAGAGTTGGCTCTAAATACCATTTGTAATATCTCAGACTCGGCGCATGGTACAGGCCCCACTCTACTAAGGTGTGGACCTCATCTACATAGCAACCCGCTTGCGTTTTCGTCCTTGAGCTGGCTGGGCGAAACTAGAATTTACGCTTCGCCGCTACAGCGTTTTCCACAGCTACACTCGCGCTTCAGTAGCCGGATTCGGTCCGGCCAAACTTGCCCAATGGACTGGGTCTCACAAAGTCGTTGACCATTACAGATGGCATTTCCAAAATACAAGAGTTATACACAACACAACCTTGCATTCGAGTTACGCCTCCCTGCGCCTGCATCGAAGCATCGATCGCCCGGTCGATCCCCAATCAAAGCAATAATCTAGCATGCACAGGGCCGCCCTAGCACTTCTTGCCGACGCGGCAGTTGAGCGCGCCGGCGTACCTGGTGAGCGACTCGGCGTACTGGCCGCCCTTGGCCTGGATGAGGTCGAGCCTGTCGAACGGGAGCTCGTTCTGGCCGCCGGACTGGTTGAAGAAGGCCCCGTTGAGGAACAGGTCGTCCTGCGACTTCCACACCCAGTCCTTGTACTGGCTGTACGGCGTGTACTCCCGCTTGGTCACCTCCTTGAAGTTCCTGTCGTCGACGGCGCGGAAGCGGTTCCCCTGGCTGATGATGGTGGGGTTCTGGCTGCCGCCGATGGCGTACATGAGCCAGTGCGTGTAGTCGTTGTTCACCACGTGGAAGAAGCCGTAGCGGCAGCGGGGCATCCGCTGCACCAGCCCCTTGCCGAAGTGGTTGAACGCCACGGTGACCTGCATCATCTTGTCCTTGACGGCGTTGTCGCTGGCCCCGAACAGCATCACGTGGTCGTGCTTGGTGAAGTGGCCGTTGGAGATGGTCACGGCGGTGGAGCCGTCCACCACGTCCACCAGCCCGTCGGCGCAGCTGCGCATCGACACGTGGTCGATCCAGATGTCGCTGGACCCCATCACGGAGATGCCGTCGCCGTCGCTCTCCCCGCGGACGCCCGAGTGGTGCTTCGAGTCCCTGATCACGCCGCCGCCGCGCGGGACGGCGTCGTGGATGTGCAGGTTGTGGAGGATCACGTTGTGCACGTTCTGCAGCGTGATCTGCGCGCCCATGATGTGCACCTGCGCGCCGCGACCGTCGATGGTCTTGTCGCTGCTGACGATCAGCTCCTTGCAGAGGTTGATCACCATGCCGCGCGCGAACGTGATCCACAGCGGGCGGTCCTGGATCACGGCGTACCGGAGCGTGCCCTTCCTGGGGACGACGAGGTTGGCGGGGTCGTCGCGGGGGTCGGTCACCACGTAGATCCTGCCGGCGAGCCCGCCCGTGGCCCTGTGGCCGAAGCCCATGGCGCACCTGGCGAGGCGCTTGCGGTTGCGCGCCCAGTCGCCGCGGCACCGCCAGCACTGGTCGATCGGGTTGGTCGCCGTGCAGGGGCCCCGCGCCTTGTGCGCAAGGGACCGGGACCGCGTCGACGTCGCCGTCGCCCTGCGCATGCCGTCGTTGAAGCGCTCCATGACGGCGACTGGGTCGCTCACGTACGCCGCGCGGTTGTACGCGTGCGCCACCTCGGCGCGCTCCGCCCAGTACTCCTGGTTGTCGGTGACGTTGACGAGCTGCGCGTACGCCTTGTCGATGGCGGCGTCGGTCGTCGGCGTCTCCGCGGCGGCGGTGGCAGCCACGGCGGCGAGGATGTAGAAGAGGATGGACAGGGGGCTCCTCACGACGGCGGAGCCCGCCATTTCTAATGATCGATTCTAGCTGTTCTATATAATTATTAAATGGGTTGGGGCTCGATCGATGGTGAGCGTGAGCCCCGGGGCGACGTGCGCCGGCTTATTGGCTCACCGCGGTGAGTGGCTCAGGCCTCAGGGAGAAGTGTTACTTCTTCCAAAGGATGCTGAGCCATCCCGGGTGAGCGGACATAGGCGAGGTGGAGGGGAGGGAGGGAGCCGGCGCGGTGGAGCGCTTGTGGTCGGTCCTCTTATAGCGCGCGGTGGGGAGGCGGAAGTGCGTCTCGCCGTGATCCGCGCGCGGCTGCTGCGCGCAGCCGCTCGCCGGGTTTGGCGGCGAGCGTCCGCGTCCCTGGCACCCTGGCAGGCGAGAGCTGCTGGACGTACGGGCTTGGTGGGACAGGAGAGTTGCCCTTTGCGCGTGCATGGATGGACATGGACGCATGCGTGGCTTCTGGCAGTTGACACACATGCCCAGCATTTGGAATGGCTTGTGAGATGGTAAGTGGTTGGGGATGAACGATGGTGTTGACAGCGTGAATGTTTGATTGGTGATTGGATCCTTCCCATGACACAGAGAGAGGGGATGTGGCGCTAACCCTTTGGCAGAAACATGGTAGAAAATTTAAAACTTTTTTTTTGGTATAAGGATAGAAAAATTAAAACTTTGACAATAATTTTTTTGTCAGGAGTAACATTTGCGCAACCGTATATATACATTCATTAGACATCATAACTTTATCTTCTTATAAACAATTATAGCCCAAGTTGTACATGATCATATAGCCAGAAATATAACGATTCCTCTGTCCATAAAAAAATGTAACGATTTAAAGTTTGACCAAAATAATAAAAAAATATCAATATTCATGATTCAAAATAAATATTATTGAATTAATTATGAAATATATATTCGTAGCAAACCTAGTTAGAGACATAAATGTTAATACTATTTAATATAAAGTTAAATTATGTTAGTTTGACTTGTTTAAATCCCATAGTTGCATACTTTTTGATGCGGAGAGAGTATATTTTTTATGTGAGGGAGTAGTTTGACTTCTAATCCGTGCAAGAAATCAGTAGGTGCACATATATCTTTTTCGTTTTTGCTAATACCATGTGTACATGATAACTTCAGTTTGGCTTCTTAGTACTGTATAAGAGTTATCTCTCCTCTCTAATTAGGTTCTTCCACTAGACCGAATACAACAAACTAGTGAAACGATTGTATAATTTTATCCATTAGAAAAAGGAGTAGATATATTAGGAATTTTTAGACAACAACCTTACATTTTCAACTAGTACATTTAAAAGAAACAATTCATATTTTTCTATAGCCAGTCAATGGAAAAATTGTATGTTGCATGAAAAACAATAATAAATCAGACATTGAGATACAGGAGCAGTGTTTAAAAACATTTATATAAAGAAAGAACTAGAATTTGAAAAAAAATACAAAGATATACAAAAAGAGCCTTAGTATAGTGTGAATGTATTACCATGTTCGATGTCCTTGGTTCAAAAGAAATCCAAACACTCTATTAAGTATTAACCATGTGGATCTTGTGGCCTTTTTGCAATTATGTCCATGTTACGGCCTGCAAAGGCATCTTTCTTTTGCAATCTCTTACAACTAAAAAGAACAAAGTGTAGATATTTTTTGGTGCGACATTTATTTTAATTCATCCGTCTGCCCACGTCTACGATCCCACGACATCTTAATTACTGATTGATCGTGACATTCTCCTTAATTGAATATTGCCTGTCATGTGATAGAGGAATCACGGCAAAATAGGAAGTAGAAAATTATTGTGCTATTCATATACACATTGCATGTTTGCATGCACCAGCATACATGGCAACGAGCAAAAGGAAAGAGAATTAACACAGAATGAAAGAGAATTAAGACAAAATGAACCTCTTTACATTTCTGAGAACCTTGCCAAATCTGCCTATATTTAATTACTTCCCCTCTTTGCAGTTGCAAAAGGGACAACTTTTTCCTCCTTTCATTTGGTTTCACGCTCACGTGTTCCATCGCCCTCGCTTGCCGTTTCTTGCGTGAACCATAGTTGATGTCATCTGTCTTCCATGGCTCAGCCTCCCAATCCCAAGAGAAGGTCCCTACCTCTCCCTGACTGGAGATCCGGCCTGCCAGAGGATCTCCTCGAGTCCATCGAGCAACATCTCGCGTCAGGCCACGACGTGGCGTCCTTCCGATCCGCTTGCTCCCCATGGCGCGCCGTCGTCCCGTTCGCGACCTTCGGGTCGCTCCTCCTGCTCCCGTTCGACCTCGACTCGGACCGCGTCGGCTTCTACTACGTCCCGGAGAAGAAGGTCTTGTCCAAGACGCTGCCCGACGTGCGCGACAAGGTGGTGTGCGGCTCCTCGTATGGGTGGCTGGCGCTCATGGATGAGGCGGCGTCCGTGACGCTGCTGAATCCATTCGCCGGTGCCCGTGCCCTCCGCGTTGAGCTCTCGCCAACAGGCGAACACGTCGCGGCGACGTCCTCATCGAAACGCGTGTCTAGGGTCCACGACCGGTGGGTCCTCCATCCCACCAACGGCTACGGGGGCGCGGATGCCGCAGGCAGAGCCATCGAGCTAGAAGACATGAGAGACGTGTTCTTCCGTGAGATCGTGCTCTCGGCGCCACCTGACGCCCTCGGTCGCGAGTGCGTGGCCATGGCCATGCTTGGGTGCTCCACGGAGGTCGCGTTCTGCCGGGTTGGAGTCGACAACGCATGGACGCTGCTCGACACCAAACTGGAGTTCTCCGTGGGGTCCATCGTCCACTCCTAAGACAAGTTCTTGGCGATCGACTGCACTGGAGAAATCTCCGTCTGCAGCAGCAACGCCGCCGGCGCTACTCCAACCGTGACACTGCTGCCATCGCTGTCGCCACCTGCGGGGCTCTACCACCGCAGCTACCTGGAATCAAACGGTGAGCTGCACATTGTGGGTGCCATGGTGAGCACGTTCCACGAGATACAGAGCTTCACCTATAGCAGCGCGATCTACAAGTGCAACCTCCACGACCGTACGCCAGAGTGGTCCAGGGTGAGGGACATCAGTGATCAGACACTGTTCGTGTCTAAACATTTCAATGAAAGCTTCATTGGAACAAGTGTATCCAAGTACAAGGAGAACAAAATCTACATATCTTAGCCATTGTATGGAGATCCATACGACTTGGATCATCGACTGGAGATTGTTGATATTGCTACCGGCGCGTCCGAAGTGAAGCCCGTCCAGAAAAAGATGCAGGGTTCCGAGGCTCTAGGTTGGATTCGACCCAATCTCTAGAAGCTCTAGAGTTTGTAAGCCTGCGACGCCGCGCACTCCGTGACTGTGTTAAATTCATAAACTTTATTTTTTGGATTAACTGTCACTTTAACGTTGGTATTTAATTTAACAGTATTGTTATTTTATCGTGCGATCCATGTGTTTTTAGTATAAATTGTTAGTTATCCCGTAGCAACGCACGGGCACGCTACCTAGTTGAGATTAAAAGAACTAATTTTCAAACAAGCCACTACCATGCTCCGGTTGGTCAAGACTCCATATCATAGTTTTGGAGAGAACCTTGGGCCTAAAAGGGTGAGAGTTTGGCATGACATGAACATACAAAAGGGTTTGTATGTTTTTTTTTCTAGTTGTGCTAGCAGTTGACATCACATAAACATACAAAAGGGTTTATATGTATTTCTAATGTGTTAGTAATTAAAACTACACCAAACTGACTGACAACGAGACACTAAGATGGCTACCATCAATCCTCACATGACAAAGGCTTTGTCATCCACTCCAAATTGTAAGACGTTTTGTCTTTTCTACATCCAATACTTTTACTATGTATCTACATTGTGTATATCTAAATCTTGTAATTTGAAATGGGGGATACTTTCTAGGTAGCTACACTATTAACTGTTGATGCGACAATGGTTGGTAGTTACGAAATTGCAGCAGCAACAACAAGCAGCCTATTCGGTTGGCTGGTTCGTATCGTTGCTAGTTCGTTTATGTGAGAGAGAAGTACTGCTGGCTGGTACATTGAAACGGTGTCCATGTGAGGGGGCTGGCCAGCCCAGCCAGCCAGCCCCAGCTGAACAAGGCGAAGCTATGCCCAATAGACTAGCCAGCCCCAGCTGAACAAGGCGAAGCTATGCCCAATAGACTAATCTGGGCCACAGCCCCTAGCTTCTCAAAATTCTTAATCACCATACCATGGCTAATATCATTTGTGCATCGTTAGCGGTCCCTCCAATTTACCCTTGGGCCTTTAAAAGAGATTTCGCTCAACCTCCGCCACTGCCAATACTCTAAAAGTTTTTACTTTCTAAATGATGCTAGCAAATACTCCATCCATATGAACTAATCATAGATTAGTTGGTTATAACTTTCTTGTGCTGGAACCTGTCCACCCGAGTTTAAGTCTTCGACTTGGCACGGGTGCTCGTATTTTTCTAGATTTATTTTAAGATTTAACAGCGCTATGCATTCAGTGGTAGGCGACGTCTCCTCGATAGTGAGACGTTTGTGGTGACTTCGTGAATTTCAAGATCTGCTGGTTTAGTCCTTTGGAGGTGCTCATAGGGGTAGGGTTTGCGTACGTGTGTTCATAAGGGTGAGTGTGCGTGCATATTGTGGACATCTATGTTGTACTGTGTGATTTAAAAAAAAAGAGAAAAAAATACTCCCTCCATAAAACATATAAAATCTCCTTTTGTGAGAAGTCAAACAATCTCATATTTGACTAAATATTTATGACATGTAATGGATATCACTAGATTAATTATAAAATATATTTTGATAATAAACCTATTTGAAGAGATGAATTGTCTTTTAAAAGGCTTAATGTTTAGCTTTTGCTATTTGAATTTGTGCCTTGTGCTCAGAAAATTGTTTAGCTTTTTACTAGTTTTTGTTTTTCAGCCAAAAACTGAAACTTTTAATTCTGTTTGGTCGCACGCACGCAGAGGCCGGAAAAACAACATCAAACTGACTTTTGCAATTAATTATGGAACCAAATTGCCACGTCAGCCACACACCCATAGACCGGTTCCACGCCACCAATCTGCCTTTTCCGCCTAATCCCTCCCAGAACCCTAGCTCCCGCCGCTGGCCGGTCCCTCCCGCGGCTCGGAATGGCCGGCGCCGCCGCGCTCCGGCGATCCGCTCGCCGAATTTCCCGGCACCTCGTCGCTGCCCCCGCGTTCTCCCGCAGTGCGCTCCAGCAGCCCAAGTGCCTCCTGTCGTCGCAGGCGTCGCCGGAGCACGGCGCGCGCGGCGCGGTGTCCGGGTCGGAGCTGGCGCTGTACCCGCCGGAGCGGGTCCGGAACTTCTCGATCATCGCGCACGTAGACCACGGCAAGTCGACGCTGGCCGACAGGCTGCTGGAGCTCACCGGCACCATCCATAAGGGCCATGGGCAGCCCCAGTACCTCGACAAGCTGCAAGTGCGACGCTAATTCTTCCCGCTCACTCTCCTTCTTGTTCGATAAGTTAGAGAAATAAGTAAAATGTTGGCCCTTTACTGCTCAACTATCAGATGGTGAGAGGTGATCAGTCAGTTAGGCCACCATTTCCATACTGTTTTCGTGATCAGATTCTGGAACTGCATTGATGTCTGAATTAGTTTTATAAATAGTTGTTACCTTTTGGCCTTTTGAGATTTTACCATTGCACTGCCAGTAAGTGTCAAGGTCTATTTGCGGGCACAATGTTACGCTAATTCCATATCAGTTGATGCCTATACTGCTAGTAGCTTCATGACTGAAACTTCTACAATTTCTTATCTTACCTACAGGCTACAGTATAAACTCTTTCTACCTCCGGTCACATAAACTTATTGTTTAGGATAAGATTGGTCAAATATTTAAAACTGCAAACATCAATTACAATTACATTATTTAGTGTGGAAGCGTGCAAGTTAAATGCTAAATGTCTTATACATTTGACAAGATTTGGTCAACTTGTTGTCAAAATACTTAGCAAAATATCTTATATTGAAGGATTTTAAGAATATATTCTAGAAGAAATTAGCGGTCAAAGATACACATTGAAGCTGTGCAAAGTAAAATGCGTCAAGTATTTGTGATCTGAGGGAGTATAGCAGTTATCAGTATGAGAAGCCATTTTTAGCATGCCAGGTCATCTGAGGGTTATCAGATCCCAAAAATGAATAGGTCTATTTTTTATTCCAAAGAATGCAAATAGAGTTGCTGGATTCATCTTTTAAACTTTCAGAATTTGAGATAGTACAACTTTTTAGGTTGTAATATTATGTGATTCAACTACATTTAATGAAGAGTGTATTTTCACAACCTCAACTCCCTTTTCCTTATACTCTGATTTGGGCATTACTTTCAGAAAACTGATTTGATATTGGATTAGTCCTTGATGTCTAGTTTGATATTGTGTGTCTTCTGTTGTAACATTTATCTATGTGGGGACCAGGTTGAGAGAGAAAGGGGGATTACAGTCAAAGCACAAACAGCAACTATGTTCTATAGGCATGTTACTGCATCTCAGGACTCAGATATGCCAAAATATTTGCTTAATCTGATTGATACGCCAGGCCATGTGGATTTCAGCTATGAGGTATCCAGGTCCCTTGCAGCTTGCCAGGGTGCTCTTTAGTAGTTGATGCAGCACAAGGGTACAAGCTCAAACAATAGCAAACTTTTACCTTGCCTTCGAATCAAATTTGAGTATCATTCCTGTGATTAACAAGATTGATCAGCCGACTGCTGATCCAGATAATGTAAAGGATCAATTGAAGAGGTTGTTTGACATTGATCCAAGTGAAGCTCTGCTTACTTCTGCCAAGACTGGTAAAGGCCTTGAACAGGTATTGCCTGCTGTTATTGAACGCATACCTTCCCCACCTGGGAAATGTGATGCACCTGTACGGATGTTGCTTTTGGATTCCTACTATGATGAATACAAAGGAGTGATTTGCCATGTTGCTATTGTTGATGGTGCTCTGCGTAAAGGTGATAAGATTGCTTCAGCTGCAACTGGCCGTGCATATGAAGTTCTTGATGTCGGCATTATGCACCCTGAGCTTACACCTACTGGAGTTCTCTACACTGGACAAGTTGGATATGTTATTAGTGGAATGCGTTCAACTAAAGAAGCACGCATTGGTGATACCCTTCACCAGGCAAAGAGTACTGTTGAGCCACTTCCTGGTATGGAATCCCATTCCTGAAACATTTTTATGGCCTCGTCTGCATTTTTCACTTTTCATTGTCTGATTTGGCCTGAAAAGAACACACATGATTTATTGCAGTCCCATAGCATTGTTTCATATCCCCTTTCTTTCGTTTTTGGTTGCATGCGACATCATACAGAATAGCCTTTCAGGTTTCAAGCCTGCGAAACACATGGTCTTCTCTGGTCTCTATCCTGCTGATGGTTCTGACTTTGAAGCTCTTAGCCATGCGATTGAGAAACTAACATGTAATGATGCCAGTGTCTCTGTTACAAAGGAGACAAGCAATGCACTTGGCATGGGATTCAGGTACCACCATACCAGATTTTCTACATGTGAACTAGTTTGTTTCTGTTGTTTTCAATACACTGAGTGTGGGACATGCTGTAATCTGTTTTTTACTTTTTCTATGACTGCTTTACAGATGTGGTTTCCTAGGATTGCTACACATGGATGTATTCCATCAACGGCTTGAGCAAGTATAGTTCTTTTTGCATAATTTTGATATGTTCATTTTTTGCTGTTGCATAATTTGTACTCAGGACACACAATACATCAATTGATGTTGGAAAATTAATTAAAGAGCTTCATTCCTAATTGTTATGCTAGTATCTCAATGAAATTTGTAACTTTGAGGTGCTGCCTTTAGAAGCATGAAATATTTTTGCAGAAAAAACTAGAGAATATCTTTTTTTCATGAGGTTAACGGTCCTATATTTGACTAGTTTTAAGTACATTGGTTACCTGTGTCAGCCTAGAAACTCTTCCATTCATTTGAACATATAAGGGGGGAAAATTGGAATATGATGGCAAAAAAGAGGAAATTATAAGATGTGATATAGTCTAAATAATTTGTGTGACCTTTAAATTGCCTTGAGGTTCTGATTGTCACTGTGTTTATTTAGGAATATGGAGCTCAAGTCATATCGACCATACCAACCGTACCTTATATTTTTGAATATGGTGATGGAAGGTGTGCACTCACAATTGTATTTGCTAGCTCGGTTTTCTGGTAGGATACTAAAACTATTAGGTTATTTTATCAGCAAGGTGCAAGTTAAGAACCCTGCTGCTTTGGCTTCGAATCCTGGAAAGCGTGTAGCAGCCTGTTGGGAGCCCACAGTTATTGCAACAATCATTATCCCTAGTGAGTAAGACCTGCTTCCTTTCTCACCTGTTTTCTACATTTTTATTTCAATATTTGAGCATTACAAGTAGAAAATTGTTATCATGCTCAATCACCTTTTCAGGTATGTTGGGCCTGTCATTATGCTTTGTTCAGAAAGAAGGGGCGAACAGCTAGAATATACATTTATCGATGCGTAAACCTTTTTTTCTTCCAAATCTCTCAGTTTTGCTTAAGTGCTCGTCTATTCTTTTTGCTTTTTATTCATATGGCTATTTTTTATGCAGCCAAAGGGCACTGTTGAAGTACCGGTTACCATTGAAGGAGATAATTGTGGACTTCTACAATGAGTTGAAGGGCATTACGTCTGGCTATGCTACTTTTGACTATGAAGATTCTGAGTAAGTCCTGTTGTGAATGAATAACAAGGCATGGTCTGGCTACACCATGGTCTGGCTACACCTTTTTTTTTCTGGAATTTACAGATGAGAAAAATATCATGTTTTTTATTTCACTTCCTCGTATGCTTTCATCATCATCATTATTTTTTATTTGCAGTCCTTTATATTCTGAAGGTGTTAGTACACCTTTCTGAATTGAGTTTCCTTTTTTGAATCTAGCCTATGACTAGTGATTACATACACAGAGAGCACTTGTCCTATGTATACAAGGTTTTGGAAACATTCTTTTGATCAGATCTGGGATTTTTTGACTTATATTAAGTAATGCATCCATCATCATTTTTGTGAAAATTACTCTTTAAGTGGCTTACAAAAATCTGTTCCAAAGTATAATAGATGATACGAGAAGAAAAATATACCAGAAATTTATGTAGTTTATCATTAATTTATTCCCCTTTTCTCTTTGACAGATACCAACAATCTGATCTAGTTAAGTTGGACATCCTTCTTAATGGTCAACCTGTTGATGCTATGACAACTATAGTGCATAACCAGAAGGCTCAGCGGGTTGGAAAAGAATTAGTGGAGAAGCTCAAGAAATTTATAGAAAGGTATTCATCAACCTCCTTTTCTTGAACATGTGTACTGTGCTTGAGATATGAGCATCTGTTTGAATACATTACTTTTGGGTCAATATTAATTACACTACAAAAGTGCAATTAGCTGCAAAGGGAATGGACTTGCAAATGAGAATAAATATTAGAGCAGTTTCTTTGGTGAATTTTGCAGAATTTTGCTATGGTCTCATGTTGAATTGCAACATGATTTATATTTGTGCCGCCTAGCATAATTTATTTCATTCTTTTCATGCAGGCAAATGTTTGAGATCACCATACAAGCAGCAATTGGTTCAAAGGTTATTGCAAGGGAAACGTAAGGTCTTTGAAGCTGCTATCCATTCATCCAGAACATTCAAGACAGTAGTCTTGAGCATTTTCTGTAATAAACTAGCAAAATTTCTACAACAGGTGGAAAGGGTTTAAAAAACTTTCCAACTAAACCATTCTGTTGGCCTAAAAGATGTACCTGTTCAGTTAATATAAAATTACTACCAATCAGCCTTGGGAAATCACGCGTTTGAGAAAAAGAAAGCCTTGGGAAATCACCTCCAGTCTTGCCCTATCTGGTTGAAGCGTATCTGAAAGGTTTAGGTTTCAACCTGTAGGAAGCTGTCCTAGTTTTAGTGGCATTGTTCTTAGGCACAGTATGAATAACTAAATACATCATTCATTATCAGGTTAACTTACTGTATCTGAAAAGCCGATGGGAGGTAAAAGAGTTGAATAATATGTTGCTGTCACACAGGTTTTGCTTATCTGCCCTCTTTAACCATTTTCAGCCTGTCAGCAATGAGGAAGAATGTTCTGGCAAAGTGCTATGGTGGTGATATTACTCGGAAGAAGAAATTGTTAGAGAAGCAAAAGGAAGGCAAAAAGCGCATGAAACGTGTGGGATCTGTCGACATTCCTCAGGAAGCATTCCATGAGCTACTGAAGGTCTCCAATTCAAAATAGATGGGATCCACTGCAATTGTAGTTTTTGTAGCTGTCCTAATTTTGAAAGTAGCTGTGTGGTGATGACTAGCAACCTCTTCTAGTCTTCTGACAGGTGAGTTGTTATTTATCTGTTGTGCATATCATTATGTTATAAACCGTCAATAGTTTCTAGAGTTGAATCTCATGAGTTATCTCCTGTCACAGGTCCTAACACAATTATGCCATTGAGTACATAATGGTGCCTGCGCCTGTTAAAAAGTTTACCAGGGACCGAAAAGGCCGAAGCACTGCAGCCTTGTCCTGCTGACCTATGAGCGGAGTGCTGAGCCTTGTGCTGGAAGTTGTTCCTCCTGTGGACTGTGGTGATATGCACAAGGATTCTCAGTCAGCTGGTGCCGACGAATTTCCCATAGCAACCCAGTAGAGCCGCCATTTTGTATTTGTTGATTGATTGATGGAGGAGAAGCATCCTTGAGCACCTTGCTGAACCCAGTTTCCGCTGCTGACTTGATAATCTGCCGTGTCACGTTACACTCCATTTTGTCTTAGATAATGGTTTTGAGCAAACACAATAGATCATACACATCAATTGGTCACTGAAACAATGTGGTACATGTAATAAAATAAAAGGAGTTGAATTGAATAAAGATATCTCATGGTTTTGGAGTTTCGGGCGATCATGCTCGTGCCTGCCTTGGTTGTCCTTTTCATCCTGAAATGAACCCCTTGTAGGCTGGTTGTCCTTTCCATCCTGAAATGAACGCCCCTTGTGGCTGAGAGCATCGTTTAGCTCCAAACACACAAGTTGAGAAAAACAAAATAAAAAATTTGCACCAGCCGGGAATCGAACCCGGGTCTGTACCGTGGACCACTGGTGCTATTGTGTTTTGTTTTGACGTGACGCTTTTGTGTGTTTTCTTCTGTCACAAGCCCTACCACAAGTCCACAACTACTCTTTTAGAGAACAGGTTTCCCCCTTAATGTTGATCATAAAGCGTTTCAACAGTTTAAGTTCAAAGTGTATAGGCACGACCGTCAGAAATTAAAGCAAAAAAGGCCTAGAGGCACTCGACTTGACTCCAGTTCACTTTCTCGCTGATTCACATCTGTGTAGACCCACTCCGAAGACTGAACATCCAACAACTCCAATCTTGATTACGCCTCCGGAACTCAGCCGATTCTTGGTGGTTGATTCGCCCACTCATCCAGCTTTTGTATAATCATCTCTATCTTCACTTCCAACTCTTGATTGAACGTTGGCCTCTATCTTCTCAAAGTCTTGGCAATCCAAATCATCATCTCTCTCCCATCCAAACCATGCCCTGAAAATAAATTTTATTACGAAACTTCCAAAGACATCATAGCACCACAGAACTAGTAATATTAGTCAAAACATGTCTCTTATTCGCTATCTAGCGAGAGAAGCTACCGACTCAAAAGTCCAAGCACAACTATTCCATTGAGTACATAATGATTGCGCCTGCTAAAAAGATTTCCAGAGACCGAAGCACTGCAGCCTTGTCTTGCTGACCTGTGTGAGCTGAGCAGTGCTGCTGAGCCCTGTGCTTGAAGTTATTCCTGTAGCGACATGCACAAGGCTTCTAAGTAATGGATCATATTCATACACCTCAATTGGTCACTGAAACAATGTGGTACATGTAAAATGCAGCGAGTTGAATAAAAATATTTCATGCTCTTTTTTTTTTTTTTTTGCAGAATGACGTGCGATCGAGCCTGGTTGGCCTTTTTCATCATGAATTGAATACACGAGAAAATGTGTTCACGAAATGAAATGGATAGAAATGTATAACATGAGAGGAAGTTGAGGAACACAAAACATAATAATAAGGTAAACAAACACACGGAATGAAAGTGGATGGAAATGTATAACATGAAAAGAAGTTTCTTTTACTATATAAAAAAAACATGAAAGGAAGTTGAGGAACAATAAATAAAAACAAAAAAATGCACCAGCCGGGAATCGAACCCGGGTCTGTACCGTGGCAGGGTACTATTCTACCACTAGACCACTGGTGCTGTTTTGCTAGCGATTGGCGTGACGATTTTGAAATCTGAATCTCCGTCGGAAGCGGATCCTGCTTCCCCTTGGGCTCTCGGCCACCAGTTAGTTACTGGCCGTGTCCGGGTGGCCGCTCAACTGGTGCGCTTGGCCCGAACGGACTAGTCAAACACAGGCGTCCAGCGGCCTCGCTCAGTCGCTCCCCAGCCCCCCACCTCTCCTGTTCCCGTGGGCGGCGTCCTCCCGCGCCCATGGCGATCTCGCACCTCCAGCCCGTCGTCATCCTCCTCGTGCTCAGCGCCTTCGCGTCGCTTCCCACGCAGGCCGCCGCGAGAGGCGGCCACGATCCGTTAGGTCTCTCCCTCCTCTTCCCCTCTGTGATGTCGGGGTTGGATATGCATTGCAATGGGGGCGATGATGCCGGTTGGAACTTATAACCGTTCCCCATCGTGTGAAGCGGTGGGTTCCGTGTCCCACTTAGGAGCTTCGGGCACTACGGATCCGGCAGCTCGTTTCGTTTTGGTGGGGGTTTATAGGAATTTTTTTTGATGGATTTCTAGTGCCTCGGATTCAATACAAGTCATTTTGGTAGCACCATCGCTGATTGGGGATGAACGGAGTCGGTGCACGCACAGTGATGCCGGGGATGAGCTAGAATTATAAAAATTCCATGCTCTTCAATACGTGATGTGTGCGTTGACTGTTGAAAAATGAAGACTACGGCCTATTATGTATTTAGCTTATTATTAAAACAATGGTATACATTTTTTGTAATGGCTTGATTAATCAACAAGCTGGAGTTTTGTAGTAGCTTATTTTGTCCACGCTCCATCCAAAACAGATTCATACCCATGCCCTTCTCTGATCTGATCAAGTTATTCTTATCTTGAGTTCTTGACTAACCTCAGCGTCTATCTGTTTGATTAGACATATTCCACAATAAACTGATGTATGTTTCTACCTATGCATACCTATTTTCACTATGCAGTTACTGACGTATCTATTATTTTGTTTGTCCACCGTGTGCAGATGATGGGGCTCATGAGCCATTTTCACGTAAACTTCTTGAAGATAAGCCGCCTCAGATCACGTATGTTTAGAATTAGATCTTTTAAGTTTTTTATATATAAAAAGAAAAAATGTGTGTGTCTCAGTCTCATGATGTTATTGGTTGACTCTGCTGTGTATGGTTTTGAAATGCATTTAGAGAAGAGATGGTCCGTGGATACATGAGCAATGCTGAGCTTGAGGCTGCTGTACATGCCTTTGGAAGTCGTTGTTCTAATATCTCCAGGGTGTACAGGTACATGATGTATAATGTTTTACTTCTTTGTGATCATTACATTTGGAGCTTCTAAACAATCTTTTAAGACCATCAGTTTTTAAAGACATAAATGCCTGCATCATTGGTGGGTAGTCATATATGGTATATTGTAGAATTCAAAATCATTATCAATCATGAGAGAATCAACGATGCATATGCAGTTATCTTGATAGGTAAAAGCAAAGGCTAAAATAAAAAATGTCGCTTTTAAAAGAAAATCAATCATGAAATGCCAACTTAGAAACATAATTATATCCATAGGATACATGTATAGTTCTGTTTTACTTCAGATTGTTGAATTGTTCCATGTTCATTGTCCATGATTAGCCCTTTTAAGCATTTCATAAATAACAGAATAATGTGGTTTCAATCTCTTTATTCTGTTCGTTTGTTATGCAAACCGATATTTTCCTTGATTATCACAGTTTTTAAGTGTATTACTTATTTCTTCCTTTATTTCCTGCCCTCCAGTATTCTCATATGTTCACACTTCACTTACCTTTTGTTTCTTTCTCTCTTTGAGGATAACACAAACCTGTTATCAGCATTGGAAAGAGTGTGAATCATTTTCAATTGGTATGTAACTTAAATGGATGTACATTTTTGTATGTTTCTCTTAGTGTCAAATTTACATACTGGGGAACACTTCGATTTTTCTTGTAGTGGGTGATTGAAATATCGGACAAGCCCAGGCAAAGAGAAGCTGAACCAGCATTCAAGGTTTGTGGTACCATTTTATTTAACGCTATTGAGTGGGGCTTTCTTTTACGTAATTGGAGAATGGAAATAAACTCCTGGTTGGAGATTTCCTGTGATGATCATCTCATTACATCAATTTCTTGAATTGACTTCCATGATGCCATACCCTTTCTTTGTTTTTTTTCACTCTTGTTAATTCATTGGGGACTAACTCTTTTCCCCACATCTTGAGAACAGAAATGTTACCTATGTAGGCTCACACTTAACACATTTTTCTGAGTGGCAAACATGCAATCAAGTAATGCCATATTGACAATTACTAAGCTGAATTCCTATACTAGATCCATGCTTAAACACATGGTTTTCCTGCAACAAAGTGCATTGACAATTATTCTGCTGACTTGCTCTGTTGCTGGAGCTAATAACCTCTTATGTTCTTATTCAAATGAAACCAATGATGAATTCTCTAGGTTGTTTATCCTAATCTCAGTATTGAAGATAGCAATAATTTATATGTGATTTAATTTGTGCTACACATGCAGTTCATTGGAAATGTTCATGGTGACGAGCCTGTTGGAAGAGAGGTTCTTATGCATCTTGCAAATTGGCTGTGTGATAACTATCTGAAGGATTCACTGGTAAGCAACATTCCTCTGTTGTTACTTGCTCTTTGGTCACCCTGCAGTTTACCAATAGCGAACCTCTTGCAATTTTTTAGCTTTGTGATAACTACTTCCAGTATTTTTTTTGAGTTGGTGTTCTGATGATATCATAATTTTGGTACAAATACAATAACACATGAAAGTTATTCAAAATATGAAGTATGAGATGAAATTCTAAAGGATGCTGTTTTTACTTAGTTTACAATATATTGTTCAACATTAAGATCCCGTGTTCCATGTAACTATGATGTATAGCAGAACATATTTTCACTAATCTGTGAAAATGGTTAACTGTATATGGAAATGTCAGCAGTTGAACTAATTTCTGTAGGCAACTCTCATTGTTGAGAACATGCACCTTCATATACTTCCGACAATGAACCCTGATGGATTTGCTCTTAGATGGCGTGGTAATGCAAACAATATTGATCTCAACAGGGATTTTCCTGACCAAGTCTTGCGTGACTTTTATGTTGCACCTCTTTTCCTTATGGAAGCATCTACTTCCCTTTTGTACTTCCTTTTTCCTTGTAGCCATTCAATTGACACTAGCCGAAATTGACAGTTCTTCTCCGTTAACAACGATATTGACTACAGACAGCCTGAAACTAGAGCCATTATGAATTGGGTAAAGCAAGAACACTTCACGGCTTCTGCTAGCTTGCATGGGGTAACTATTCTCACCTACTGTGGTTATAATATCACTTGTTGAAATGAGGTCCTATGGTTTTCTCTTATTTGATTTGGTTTTCAGGGGCTCTTGTTGCCAACTATCCATGGATGGAACTAGAGACACAAGGTGTTTTCTTCTTCTACTTAATTACTTACATTCATTTTTTCAAGTATCTCAATTAATAGTGTTCTCTCTAAAACTTTTAAATATGTAGAAAGTCTGACAAGCTTTTCATGAAGTATTGCCCAAAAATTGTGGTAGCTTATGCACAATAGATTGTTGTGTTTGCCTTCTTTTATTTCTTTCACTATCTTCCCATGGTGCTAACGGTTATTTGAAGTTTGGATCGCAAGTAGGTGCCTTAATCTATTCTAATAAGATGTTGCTGCTGTTGGTTGCATTTTCATTCTTTGTATGAAAATGGTCTGTTTTACTATCACTTTGTCCTCTTGACACCTAAACAAAATTTTGACTCATTTTGCTCTGCCAAACTATTTAAACTGGGACAGTTCACCCACTAAGGAAAATATTCTATTTGCTTCTCCCTGTTCAAATCAAAGTTCAAAATAGCGGGATTTAGCGGCCGCTATAGCGCTATTTTTTTTTGAGCAAAACCGTGGGAAAAATCTCTGGCGCTATATAGCGCTATTTAGCAGTTCAGGAGGTCCGAGGCTAAGCTACGCAGTTTTAGCGCTTAGATTATTTTTTTCCGCTATTAGTGGCTAATAGCGCTATCTCCGCTTAAATCAAGGTTCATTTAGCGCCGCTTATTCTGCACGGGCTTTCATTTTGTCGGCCCAA